CATATACATGGGAGAGGAACAGAGGAGGTATTCAGTGGAGAATGCCAGAAGGCATGGACTCCTTTTGGTAGGAAAGGCTGTTGGCTTTAATTGTATACATTGTCTTGGATTCGCACCTTCAGAAAAAACGCCAGTTTGATCTCACACAGTATTCACTGCCCATATTTACATCCTATTGCCTGGGGCCCAGCGAAGGCAAACAACTGGCATTTTCCCTTCAGTCAATTTCTATCTGAAAATCTATAGGGCTTAAAAGACTTCTTAAATAACAGATCTGCATTTATCCTTGAAAATTTTTAAAAAGCAAAAATCAGGTGATCTAACCTACAGCATCGCCCCTGAAAAAGCCTCAAAAAGAAAATGGGTTTCTACTTTAGATGAAATTCTTTCTGATTCACAAAAATATTAAAGAATTAAAAATTTGGTATATAGCTGTGAAATCCCACACATGATGCCCACTTCCCTGTGAAGTAAGCCACTAAATTAATTAGGCTTTGTTATACAGCAATTTTATCTCCAATACATAGCTCTTTCTTCCAGTCCTCTGAAAATACGCAAGCTTGAAAAAGAAGCACAGATAGGAACCAATCCACTTTGAGGGAAACCCAAACAGCACGGGGCAGATCCTTAGTGGAATGAAGGATCTGCACTGAAGTAGATGGGACAGGAATTGTTTATGCCAGCCAGGAATCTGCTCTGCATCTGCAGACCAATTTATGAAAAAGAGGTGACACACCATACATGGACCAGATGCACTAATGTCATATAAGGCAAAAACAAGCTCTGCTGGGGATGTTCCAACATTTCTACACAAGATCTCACAGCGTACAAAATTTACTTCATGTGAATGAAAATCTTTTTTAACTGCAACCTCTCTGCATGGTTTGAATGTGCTACTGTGGACAAGGGTTTCAAAGGCCACCCAACAAGCAATGCTCAACTATATCTTCTTCACAGGGTGGCATATGAATAGCACATTTCAGTTTTAACAGACTGAAAAATCATTACCACAGCAATAAGGCTGACACAGAGCAATTTTCTCAATAAACACATTCTTTGACAATTCGTATTTTTGTTCAAAAAATATATTTAGTTTTTGAGATAAGATTTTTCATGATATCACAGCAATTAACAAAGGAAGATCTGGAATTTTTTCTTTTAGGAATGTCAGTACCGTGTTATGCTTTGTAATAATTTGTTAAAATAAACTATTTATTAAACTCAAAGAACTTATTCTCTTAAACTACCTGAGGTAAGGGGGAGTTGATGAACTTCTGGCAAATTGGAAAAGTCCTCAGCGAGTAATGTGGTAAATGTGATGAACCTCTATCTAATTATTAAAACGCTGTTTGCAAAACATTTTTTAAGAGGTGTTCAATTTCTCCAAAAGCGATCTGAAACAAACGAGAAGAGAAAAAAGTTTCACTAGAAGGAACGGCCAACAAAGCTGATGAAATCAGAAGAAAACTTGATTTCTTTATACACATTCTAAGAAAAGAGGTAAGAAAGTAAATGTCAGGGTGCAATGCTATTTTGAATTACCAAACACTGCCACCCTGTGTTCCCTTCAAAGACTATCAGGCTGCTTGAAAACACCTAGAGAATAAATATTAAAAGAGATTCAAAGTTGTTGCTCTGTCTCTTAGGTAACGTGTTTCTGTAAAATGCAATAGTGATGAAAACCCCAAAAGAGTTTTCAGTATTTTTAGCCACTTGTGTTACATCTGTATAAGAACACATGGTTCTGTTTCTATCCCCTCCTATCATCATTGTGGAGAGGACTAACTAGAGAATGACAGAGAGAAAATAATGGACAAGCTTTGTTTCCACACAGAGATGCCTACCAAAATTGATGTCTCATTGTGCAGGGCCCACCTCAGTAAACCTCTACTTCATCTTAGTGGTCCCTAGAAGGAACCAAAACCCACAAATGTTCACACAATTACACCATACTTATTTCAGAGACTGCCTTTTCTTCCAATGTTAATGCACATGAACAAAAACATTCATATAATGATGGAGATAATGGTTTCAGAGGACTTCCTACAACATCAGTTCTCACTAGTTCTAATGTAAGCAGCAAAGGATCTCCACTCTCACTTGAAAACTATATCCATTCCAACTTGAATTAAGAGGATTCGATTTCTTCTTATTTAATACAACCTCTCACCTGAAAACTCCCCTTGAGGTAGAAGGCGAGCAGAGGAACTGCATCTCCTTACTGAAAAGCTAAAATGATTAGAGATGCTCCTCTTTTCATTTAGATGAGACATTCAAGAAGATGCAAAGGAATTCCAATGACTTAGCCAAAAAGATGGATACCTGATTTTCATCCATGTTTTCAGAACTTCTGTCATAAATTCTTTTGAGTTGGGATGCCTAACATTAGCCTGAAGATCAGGAAGTATTAGGAACAAATTCTCAGCTATTTTTAATTAGTATACACACACACACACACACACACACACACACAAACTGATTAACTGAAGTTGGAAGAACTGACTGAAGAGTCATCACTCCCTCGTCAGCATTATCCAGATAAAATATTTCAACCACTTTCCTCAGAGGATGTTGCAGATTCCATATCTATGTCCACACAGATTCACTGAGTGAATTCTAGCTCCAGGAAAATGCAGACCTCAGGGAGCAAGGCCACCAATTAAAACAGATGCAAGTAATACTTGGATGAAATACCACACTTGCAAGAAAACATTCTTTGGTACAACTGTAGATATTAGAAATTTCAATAATAAAAGAATTCTGAAAAAAGACTGAACAACAATTTGAATACCTAATGGATGACTATGAAGTTCTGGGCAGCTCAGCTGCAGAATTAGTTCCCTTTAGGCCAACAAAAATTAGAACACTTGCATTTAAACATGATGTGTTTTGTCAGCATGACTCATGCGGGTACGCACTGAATGTCTTTGGTTATTCAAGCTGCTTTTGCTCTCAGGAATACTGAGTGTTCAGAGTCATGATTCTTTCTAGTATCTTAAAACTCAAAGTGACTCCAAACAGACAGCAAAGATGAATTACTGAAGTGGAGAAGTCATTTCAAGTAACTGATAAAGGACAAACCCCATGATCTTTACCATGTCTCTTGCCATTTGTTCTTCAATGCACATTGCAGAATATACACTTAGTCCGCAGCACTATTCTGCAAGTCTTTTAACCGCAGGAAGAAATCAAAAGCCCCACATGCAGCTCTACTGGCAAATGACAGCATTAAGTCAGAATAAATTGGATTGTCCCAGTCTGTTCCAGATTTGTTTAACAAAAGATGGTAGCAGCATTCCCATCAGAGCGCTTCAGAAGTAGGAAAACAAACTGGAAAGCATCTTTGACAAAATTGCCAGAAGTCCATCATGTTTCTTACTGCAGACTTAAAGCAGCAAATCACATCTACAGCACTAATTAGTAAAGGAAAAACTGTTAATGTGCTCCATCTTAGGTAAAAGCATATGAAGAGAATAGAAAGCAAGATCATTTTGGCAAAGTTTAAATATAGGAACAAAAGGAGAACTTACGTTGCTGAAAATACACATTTATGGTCTATAAGGTACTTTCCAGTCCATGAACACACTTTCAGAAGGAGAAAGCGTCAGCCATTTACATACTTTAAACCATTACTCTGCGTTTTAATTTCTTGATCTCTTTCCTACAATAAATATGTAAAGCTTAAATATTTTTTTTGCCTTACAATACTTACCACTATCAAAGTAAGTGTCATCATAAATGCCACTACCAAGCTACACTTTGCAGAAGTTAACATGTCTGAGCAAAGTCAATGGGTATAAAATAAACTTTCAAAAATATAATTAGGATTTGTCAACCTGGGTGTTAAAAAAAGCTGAAATTTCAGGCTGGCTTATACACTACACTTGATTCATTTTTCTGTACTCCAAAGTTCTAATTTGTTTTGTCTAGTTCACAATTCTTCACATCATTTAGTTCCGTAGTAACAAAAAAACCTTGGAAAGTGACATAGTTAAATTTCCAACACACACAATGTATTGCAAGAGTAGCATAAAGGAAGCAATATGATCTTAGTTTATATCCATCTCCCACACCAAATAAACTGAACCAGTAATGCTCTCACTGTGATTTCCAGTCAAGAAACATTGCAAAGAATCTTATTAAAATGTAACTTTAATCTCTAATTCTTTGTGGAGCTAAACATTCTCCAGACATTACCCTCTGGTTTTAGTTTCCATAGGAGAAAGCAAATGGATAGAGATTGGTGGTCTTCTGTGAATCTGTTCTTCAACTGATGCATCCCTTTGAAATTCTACCCTTTGGGGATGAGAAAGGGGGAGAATTTATTTTGAAGCAATAGATTATTCAAATGAATGTTGTGTGCAACAAGAGGATAACTTTTTGAACCACAATATGTGTCTGTGAGCGTGTGCATGTGTATGTTCATATTTAATCTGAATGAAATTAACTCACTAGCTAACTAGATATGTAATGGGAATGAGCAGATGAAATTAAACAGAAGAAACACATATTGTGCAAAAGTTATTCCACCTTGCCTCCTTTAAATCCTGGTATATAAACAACTGATTACTGTGTTACCAGCTCTACCTCAGTGCAAGATCTGACTCCTTTTTGAACTAGTAACAACAAGAGCTGCCAACAAGCACTGCTTTATGCTAAATATTCATCATTTCTTAACCTGCTGATCACAGCGTCTGGCATTATTTCCAGTATATTTCAAAGTAAAAAATGACTTTCTGGATTTAAAATTTTCCAGAGCTTTTATTCATACTCTTTTCTTAGATATTTTCAGTATAATAGAAAACTATTTAAAAAAAAAAAAATCAAGCTACAAAACACATAATATACTTCAACTAGAATGTGCATCATCCTGATGTAGGTCACGGTAAATCTTTTCACTGGATTTGGCAAACAGTCCATTCTTCGGAAGCTTGATCGTTCAACTCCAGTCTCAATTGCCACCTTCTAATAAAAAGACTAAATTTTGCATCCAAGATTTGACAATGAGTGATGAAGTTTGTCTTCGATTTAGACTTGTCAAATTTGAGGACTCCAGAACTCTTAAGATATAACAATGTCCAAATAACCTTACACCCATTTAATTTATGTAGCTAGCTGCATTAACATTAGCTTTCTGTCACTGATTTTCCTTATTTTTATTAAAGCCTTGTTTGTAAGCTCCATGGTTTCATCCCACTTGTTTTTCTCGGGGCTTGTGTATGTCACCAAGTTCTCAGTATACTGCAGGACCGACTTCATAAACCTAAGAGAAATAAAACCAAAAAAGAAAAACTCATTAAAATGATGTAAAAAGAAAAAAAGAAAAAAATCTCAATGCCTAATTTAAAGCTGCTAATGTCTCCAAATTTCCAAATCTCCCTCAGGATGATCAATACATTAAGGTTTCTTCTACTTCTGGAAGAGAACCACTCCCTCATTTTCACACTAAGAAACGATGATTTTCAGAACTGCAATTAAACACTGCCATAGAAAGCATCCAGTGATAAAACGTGTGATAGACTTTTCCCCAAATGGCCTCCTTTCCTTTCTCAGTCAAATGTTTCACGATGTCTATGATATTCAACCAGCTGTTAATTGACACAGGAGTAAAATTACCAACATATTAAATACAGCTTTTATATATTAATATTTTTTGAATGCGTCATCGTTCCCTATCTATACTAAGGAAAAGTCTAATAAAAATTAAAAATGTGAATACTGGGACCATATATTTTCAACTAAGTTATTTTAGCTCTTGAGTGAACATTGTCCGAGATATAACGATGACTATAATGACAGAGAGAAGGATGACAATGTACCAGAAGTCCTGCTGTTCCTTTTTATTTTTTTCTCTACAAGATTTACATTACAGATCAAAAAGGAATATGTACAACTTGCTATTTTCATGAAGTAAATGTTACATACTCACTTCAGATACTGTTGATAATCAAAAGGATTCTTCTTACAAACCAAATGAACGTTGACTAGTTCCAGGGTAATCAACACTAAGATGAGCCGCAACACTGGAGACAAAAATTTAATGCTAGAAATAAGCAAAAATATTTTAAAATAAAGAAATTAAAACCAAATTAAATAGAAATCATTAATATAAAAAATTCTTCAGACTTCTGTATCCATCCTAAATAGCTGGATATTGCATAGTGGAGGGTGAAGGTAGGTGGAAAAAAAGACTATGAAATGTCCTTCAGCAAAGAGTAGAGCAAATATCAGAACTATAAATGAAGACTATAAATTATGAAACCTCAAAAAGAGGAAAAAAAAGAGAAACACATATAGTTAAGATTCCAAAGGAAACCTCACCAACACTCATTACTCCAGAGATAATAAAGTAGACTTCAACTGAATTGCAAAAACATATCGTCCGTTGTCAGTTTAAGCTATGTTTCTTAACTAATATGGTTAAAATTTTTAGGAACGTAATCTGGTCAAGAATACAATATTCACAGTTTTCCCAGTTTCTAAAGTAGATTCATAAATCCCTGGAAAACACTTCTGAATAGGAACAAAACTAATGGAATATTAAACACTCTCTCTTCCAGTTATAAAGATGCTGACCCAGGTATAATGATAAAAAAACGCAGAACTAAAGTAGCTAGAGTCTTGAAACCAGTTTAACCTATTGCATTCAGATAAAGCTTGAATGGCATTTATATGCTTAAATAGGAAAAGCCAGAAACTAAAACATACAGTCTAACATTTAAATGATACTTTTATTTGAAAGCTTATAATTTACAGCGAATTAATCTAGCAATGCTAAAAATAGCCATTAAATTATTCTCCAATTTGAGATTTTCCTGTCATTTCAATATCACTATGTAACAGAAATCTGGGTTGACACTTAACTGTGAAATGGTTAATAAGAACGCATGAACACTGTTGACTTTAAACTTCTAAGACACACCACCGAAAGCTAGCAACAGCAGCATGCAGCCACTCTTCTCATAAACCTAATCACAAAGTAAAGAAAAACCATCAGCCAACCTGTTCAACATTCGTAGATAGTTATGCCTCTGGCGAGAACGTAGAGTCTTGTTCATCCACTGTTTGTATCTCAACGCAGTGCTGGCAATAACTTGTTCAGACACTCGATGGCACTGTGTGCTTATTTTACGGAGTACCACCAATATTTCCAGAACAGGTCTCGGAGAATAAAGTGTGCAAATGTGTGTATCACAAAGTTCAATCAAGAGCCTCCAAAACAGGAAGGAATTGTTAATTTCAAGCTTTTGTTAGCTGGATTTAACGTGAGATACACTTCATATTTGGTGTGGTTTGATTTATAATGTTTTAACTCAGAAAACCTGGAAACAGATTACTCTTACCCCAAGACTGAAAGAAAAGCAAGGGTCTATGTAGTAGGGGTAGCGATTGTGTTCTCTATCACTTTACTGAATATAAACGCAAAACTGCTGGTGATGAATATGTTTCCCATTTCAGATCAAAGAAATACAACCACAATAAACAAAACTGCCTGGCTGAAATGATACACTAAACACATCAAATCACAGCAGGGTTGTGGTTGAAACCTTCCACCGTAGTTCAATTCACAATGAAGTAACATCCACTGTAATAAAACTCGCTCAAACAAATGGTATTAATTAGTACTGCCATTAGTGTGTGGTCTTTCTTCTGAGCAGAACAAGAAGCAGACTTAACATTTTGTAAAATGCAGGTGACGAGGCCATTGTTTTAATCAACATCACAACAGATTATGCTTTGTTAAAGTATCCAAATATCTTTCTGCTGTCATATTCTAATTTGCTAAGCTAAGGTGTCACTTTAAACACTCTGTTGTTATAGAAATGTTCCTTAATCTCCCTCATGCTCAAATTATCTCTGAGACAGCAAAACATTAATGGCTAAAAGCAATAAAGGCAGAAAACTCTAAAAATGGTTTAATACACTAGTAATTAGGCTTCTGTTTCATAAACAAGAAAAGTGCAGATTGGTGGGTAGGAAACAGAAGGCATGCATGCTACGTAAGTAAAGCAACAGGTAAAATCCTTTTTGCACTATCCTGCCCATGCCTAAGGTGTTTGATTAGGAGAGTTTTGTTCCAACGTATTCAGTCAGTCATGGGACTCTTAAGACTGCTGTAAGGGTGTCAATTAAAAATCAAATTGTTTTGATCATTATTCCAAGTCAGATATAATTGGAACTAACATACTTCCAAGTCTGACAACAAGTATAACAAGATATTTCCTATTCTGGAATGTCGATACTAAACCATGTAAGAATAGAATTATGCAGCTGCATATTACTATTTTAAATGCCACGCACAGTTGTGACACCAAGCACATTAAAATGAATTTCTGATGCAGTTTTAGCATACAAAACAGATTAAACCCGAACTTAATCTAGTTAGCATGTAAATATTTAAAACATTTTGCTTCCCCAGACTGGAAGGAAAATGTTGGTTTTTTCATGCTAATTTCCAAGTAAAATCTCTACTGTAATAATGTCCCAAATTGACAATGTCTCATCTTCATTTTGAAGATGACGTTCATCTGCATTCTTAAGATTTTTAGATTAAATCAGCAGCAACATCAGAAAAGTGCATGCAACATTTCAAGCGTCGTTCTAAAAACAGGGAAATTAGTAACTGAGGTTTGAGAGTTCTTATGTTGGGCTGCATGTAGAAGCTCACAGAGGGAACCAGGAGGACATCAAACTCACCTCTCTGTTAGGACACTATTGATTGGATCATCTGAAGTGCAGCAATTCTGGGGCATATATTGCTGCAACTGAGATAAAATTTCAGATATCATCAAAATTAAAGTACTAGCTTCAGCATTTCCTTCCAGCCTTGAAAACAAATGAAAAAAATAAGATTTGAGATGATAAAACTGTGCAGTACTTATCAAGATGCAGATTTTTTTGATAGCAGTGTATTCAATGTTCACTATTATGTTTCTTTTCCCTCTACCTTATAGGCATGATTTTCTTTCTCCAACTAAATCCAAGCTTTTCTCAGTCTCAGCAGTCTTCTGAACCTCTGTTAATCCTCTATTAATTCATCCAGATCCTGCAGCATATTGAATATGTGCTCGATGCATTGAATTTTCACCTCTCAGCTCTAAACAAGTACAATTTCCTCATATTATTAACAACTTCCTCCTTTTCAAATAACAACAGAATGTTACATTCTTTTTCTCAGTAATATCTCATGTACAGTCTTCCACTGATTTGGTTACCAAGCCCTTTTCAGAATAAGCAATTATTTTCTGTTTTACATCTGGTGAGCCATCTTTTCTCTCTTTTTTTTTTTTTTTTTAAATAATGGACTTGAGCTCTAGTTTAACTTCCTAATAGCCACTTCAGCATCTCTTCAGAAATAGAATATGGAGTCACTAACGTCTTTGTACGTTTCAGATGTCTTCTCATTCCCTTTGTTAGCACACTGTTTATAGTGTTTATAGTATCTGTACTGATGTGTATTGCACAGATTAAGCTAAGAAGAACAAAGAGGTCTTCTTACAAATTTTGGGAATTATCCTTTTTTAATAGCGTATACATACCCTTTAATCATTTGAACATGTTCCTCAGGCACTGTTGGCAATTCAAGCCATAAGTGAATGCTCTTCATACATTCCAGCACCTCAAAAATATATCATGAAAAATGTTATGTAAAGTGTAGCCTTTGACAGACAGCATAACGTATTTTACTTTTCTTAGTGGCTATTTCAGAAAAAGCTGCAACAGGTATTAAGTTACTTGTTCAGTAGTCATAACTGTGTCAGCCGACATCAATTGTTAAGGCTTATGTTAGGGCAAAAAGTCTTGATGTACACTTCATGCTAAAACATCATCCGAATAAACTAATTTACTCTTCTTTCTTCCTTTTTTTTTACATAAAAAATTAACTAACATGGCTTTTACAACATACAATTTGAATGCTGATGAAAATGAGAAGTACTAATTATGTCTACCACAGTCTCAAATCAATAGAGGAGTATGTTCAAGCAGTTCAACAATTCATAAACTGATCAGCAGAAAACTACCATGACACTTGAAAGCAGATTTTGCTACAATGACAGGATCTTAATCAGCTGACTTTCATACAATCAAACCCTTAGTGATAGCCTAATCCAAGACTCCTAAAGGTATGACCAGAGTGTTCCTGACATAAGAAAGCACAAGGAGATTAAGAAAACTACAGAACAGCAAACATTCAGGTATCTAGAATTCAGTGATTTAGAGCACAAACACAGCACCAATTGCATCAACAGGAGCATGCCTAATTACATCTCATTTTAGCAACTGTAAGTTCCTGTAAATTCAAAAAGATAAAACTAAAAAGCTCATTATAAATATGTAAGAATTTAACTTTTTAGGACAATCAAAGCATAAAGACAACACTTAGGCCAATTTTAAGGCGTCATAATTTTAAGAACCGAAATGCTTTCGCAGTTGGACATAGCTACCTGTTTCTTGAGTCGGGAAATTGGATGAAATCGAGAACGGTAGCAACTTGCACAGTTCATCAGTGTTTTTATGACCATGTGTTCCTGATTTAAAAAATCATAGACAATACACAACAGTTTCTTTAAACTCTCCTAATCATACGCAGACCTAGACTTACATTTATTTTTATGCAAGCGACCTATAGTTCTAAAGTCAACAAAGACTGAGGGCTGAAAGCAGTAATCAGCACAGTGAGTGTTTAAAGCTTAATTTCTTCGACACATTTTAACTATGAAACCTTACAGTAGCTGACAGAAAAGCAACCAAGTATTCTCTTAATGCAGCAGTATGCAATACATCTTGAGAAACTAAAGAGAGGTGCAACTAATAAATGGAAGATTTATCTCACAGGTTGCATTACCACAAATATTAACAGGAAATTGGGAGGAGCCAATATAATAATTACTAATGTTGAGAAACATGTATTGCTAGACAAAAAGTGTTCACAAATTCACAGTATAGAGTGTGGATACAAATCACACCTCCATTAGTGAGCCACCATTATTTATAGTGTCTCAGAGAAATAAAATCTCAAATTTACATTCCTCTGTGACTGAGCTACAGTTGTTCTACATACCTTTTGGATACTTCAGCAGATAAACAGGTTAGGTATCGATACAATTTGACAAATGAAATTAAGTGGAATCGCTATAATTTACGGATCAATCATGTGAATAAGGAGTGGTTAAGCACACAAATGAAGGTACAGTAAGAAACAGTAATCTTTCGGAAAACTTTCTGTACTTACTTCACTGCAAAAGTAGAAAAAACATACTTTCACAATTTATTACTTAGAGGAATACTTCATTTCCACAAAAAACTGCTGTGAAGAAAGATTCAGATTCAACATCCAAAACAACTGAAAAAATCTTCTGAGAACGTAATATTGATCCCTACCTTAAAAGCAAACATGTCCCCATCTGAGAATCTGCAGAGAAGAGTAATTGCGAATGCAACTATCTGATTAGCTACTTCTCTGGGAAATGCTTCTAAATTGATCTCTCCATGGCTTAAACGATCTCTTATACGTGGACCCTCCTGGTGGTTCAAGAAATCCCAAAGAAATTCCTGTGGAAACATACACCAAGTGTATAGAACTCTACTCACATATTCTCTATTCACAAATATATTCTATTCACATAGAACAGAACATATTGAGTGTATAGAATACCTCTGAAAGATAAGTATGTAATCATGTCTATAAGGAAAGGGGCATTTAGATGGTCAGAAAAAACAATGCAAACTATACTCACAGCAAAGAAAAAAAAAAAAAGGGCAACTCATCCATCTTGATAGCTTCCGATCAAATTCAAAACTAATACACATGTTATTTCATGGGAGGTAACAACAGATTTCCTTCAGCTTTGTGTCCCGAGTCCTCTACAGCCCTACTGCCTCTGGTAACAGAACAACAAACTCAGATCATCCCTACAGCCTCAAAAGGCCTCTAAATCCAACACATCTAGTTTTCATGTTCACTGTCTGTTTGGATGGCAAGATGCCCGATGTGCTCTGGTAGGTTTGCAGCTATGTTTTTGTGGTATCTGCCCAGGTAGTGTAAGGTGTGTCCCAGAAGCAATCAGAAATAAATTTTAATCTTCCCTGTATAAGGCATCAGTTTTTCTTTTGCTTCATTCAGCTGATCTTCAGAAGTCTAAAGACAAATATCTCTGAGACTTCTATATTTCAGAAAAAGAGATAGTCTTAGATCCTAACTGAATAGAGCTTGTCAGGTACTACTTCGTATCCTTCATAACGAAAAAGGGTAACAAACTTCTGGTTCTAAGCTGCTGGACATAAGCTATGTGAAATAAATTAATATTAGGCATGATCACAAATATATTACTAAATTTAAAAACACACAAAACAAAACAACAAGAAGAAAAAAAAAACAAAATCAAATGACAAAACTTTCAAAACACTTGCCATAGCAGGTTCCCCAAGAACTGCAGGAAGCTGGTTGACTTCTTCATTATCCAAACACTTTGCTAGCATCTATAAAAAAGTAATTTGAATAGAAACTTATTACTGAAAGCCAAACAATCAAAGAAAAAACACCAACTAAAGGAATTAGTTTCCCTAATTTTAAGCAATTACTCTCACCACTCAGGAATCAAGGTACCTAATTATTACTGACAGACAATTTGAGATAATTCAAGAGAGTTGTAAAATTCAGAATTCCTGCTTGCAATATTTATTTGCATTTATTTTGAATAACTGAATCTAGGAAAAATGACAGAATGTTTGTTTCTCTGAGATGAAGAATTTCAAGATGAAAACATTTAGAAGAAATTAAAGTCTGTTCATTAAAATTTCTATTAAGTATGATATTTTCTGGGAGATTCCAAATTTAAAATGTTTACTGTCCTTCATCTTCTATTCGGAAAAAATTTTGAAATACTGTCTTATCCAACACAAGAATGTGCTTTCTGGTCTGTAGTAATGGGAAACATGCATGTGGTTAAATTCTGACATTTATATACACTTAGAAAAAAAAAAGAACAAAAAACCACAAGTACCTCATCGAAAGTGGTGTAGAGAGCAGAAGGCTAGAATAAAAGACAATTAATATTATTTGATTTTCAAACAAAAACAATTAACTTGACAGGTATACCAAACTTGTATTTATTCAACTGCATGAGATACTAAAGATGCATGAATAGCAAAAAAAACCCACAAACCCAAAACGCTTACAAATGAAAAAAGGGACTTTTGGATTTTGTGCCAAGTTTTTAAAAATAAATATAACATGATCTACTTTCCACCCTAAACTACTGTTTCTGTACGCTAACCTACAAGTACTTTTTCAGGCCTCTTTCACTGGCAGACATCTTTACGAAAAAATAAGAGGCATTCATGAAACTCTACTGGAAATTTGTAAATAATGTTCCACAATTGACTGAAAAATTTTGGGGAAAATCTGTAAATGTTTAGACACTATGCTTCTAGAATAACTATTTTGCAAATATTGTTAGCACTAAATCATAATTGACTTTAGACAGAAATTTTACCTCAGCTGTTAGCAATCGATTTGGACAGTTATTAGTTGTAGTGAAGAGTAATCTAAATCCAACTTCCAGCTGAGGAAGTAAGAGAATCACACAGTCAGCATACCTGAAAAGATAACAGAGATACCCAAAGGGGTTTCCCCCCCTTATAAATATAATCCAAATGGAAATTAGAGCCATCACAGAGTTACACTCTCAGGCCAAACAATCCAGACCAAAATTCCTTCGTAATGCACTTTGTAAACAAACAGCAAATGACTACCTGTGCCCAACAGAAGCTGACCACAGAATTTAAATCAGCTCAGAGATGACAATAACTTACAAAAAGCTAGAGCACGAGAGAGGAAAACAAAACAATGTACTTTTTTTTTTAAACTCAAAATGTTAATAACTGAAGATTTGTTTCCACTTGCTTTGTAAAACTCTCCCTTTTGGCCACATCTGCAATAGTTCTTTTTAGGTTTCAAAATACAGTTTATAATCCTAGCTGGCACAAAATAAACTAGTAAGTCCACAAACTTTCTGAGACACCACCATAACACTGCATAACTAGGTGTTACTAAGCAACAGATTTAGCAAAAAGCTTTGGAATCTACAAATCCTGCTATCATTCTATAAATATCGATTATATTCTTTTTCTATTCTATTAAAACAAAAAAAACCACAAAAAAAAGGACTGTTACCTGCTTTGCTTGAAAGCTTTTAAAGCAGCCATCCAAAATGGTACCATTGTTTTTAATACAAAACTGGACAGTTTCACTAGCTCTTCAGCTATGGAAAGTGTTTCATGATCAAGATCTGCAAGTTAGCAAAACAACATTGATAAACTACACACAATCTACGGTTTACTAATTCATTCTTAATATTTCACTGAAAATATAAGATTATTTCAGCATTCGTAAAGGGAGACGTAAAAGTCATCCAATTTATTTTAACTATGCAAATACAATGGTAGTCATATTTAAGATCCGAAATTGAGTTTGTAAGATTGCATTTTTAGCGATAATATAAAATTACAGAGTAAAACCAGTTAAAAGTCGTGGCTGCTTTTTACTGAGACTACAAGACTACACAGCAACTGGACTCAGCTTCTGTTGAGTTGTTCTCCATTTCAAATACTTTTTTAAAGTATTTTAATTAATTATTAATATATAAATAATTCTAGTTCAGTAAGAATCAGTACAGTAGTATGAACATTTCAACATGAGCACATTGTTCCTACTTCATCAATTTTCTACGCTGACATTTAGCATAATAAATTAACACTTCATACTTCAATGGTGCCATATAATAAAACTTACAGTTATGAATTCACATTATGAATATCTTAGCCAAAAGAAAGCTTAAAATGGCAAGTGCAACTTGATTGCAGTAGGTGTTTTTTTGAAGCAAACCAACAGCTACAGGATTTATACTACATGATGATTGGAATGCTACCAGCTTGATTTGGTTCCCAAAAGCCCTGCCTCAGTTCTATAAACTGATGTTCCACTGGCAAATTGATTACGTAGCACAAACTGATCATGACCACCATTGACACCAAGATTCCCCATACGCTGTTGTTGCTTTAAAAATATTAGAAATAAAGAAAACAAGGTCTGTAGCCAGGGAGATGAGAAGATTTTATTCTGACACTTCAGGTCCTTCCCTGAGAAAATCATCAGTGTACTGAAGGTGTGTCACCATCCTTTACTCTGTCTCAACACTACCTTCCCTGTAAGAAGCAGAGCTCTCCTGCTGGGACCCCTGCAGCTGGAACCCACTGATTCTGGAAAGAATTAGATTTTGTAAAGGCAAACTAGATGACTGTTACACAAAATGAATTCTCATCATCAAAAAACTGGAACATACAGTTGACGTCTTTTAGAAGCAGTAATGTTATATGTTTCAATGTGTTACAACTATTTTACAATGCAGTATTTTTTGATTCGATACTCAGCGGAACTGTCTACCTACTAAAAAGTTGTCCTACAAGCATGATTGATTCATCTAATGACAGTGCATACAGGTATCTTAGCTGAAATTCAATCTTAGAACTGTGCAAAATGCATTATTTTCAACAGCACTTTTGGACAATGAAACAATAGTAAATATAGCATAATAAAAACTTGCTAATGGTTAAATACTTGCCTGGAAATACATTAAGCTCCTCTAAGCTAATGAAAATCACGTAAGGTCGATGTACTAAAACGCATTTAGTTTGCAGAAGATATGTCTGTAACAACTGACCCAATCCTGCAGTTAAAAAGAGCAGCATAGCACAATATCTAGGGAGAATACCATAATATATTAGAAAAGATTACACAACTAAATCTTTTGCAAAGAATCAACATTTGTGGATTGGGGACAAAGGGTTTTTTTGCTCTTTCGAAGAAGATCCAAAACCCATGCTCCTCATCCCTTTTGAGGAGGGGCACTTAATAATGAATTGCATTCACAAGCATGAAAAAACAATGTAGAATTAGGAAAAAAGCATCCCTGTATTCTACGATGACTGCTGTTGCTCCTCCTCCTATCCCATTTTTCTGCCTTTTATTCCTGACTACCCTGACAGACAAGGAACACAGTTTCAAAAAAGGACCTTAAGCTTTCTTGCTTTTCCTGCTTGTAAAAAAAACACTGGTCCTAAAACTGACCAGCTTTATAATGGCTGAAGTATGTGGAAATCGCTTTGCAAAAGAAGCAGCAGCAGCAGCAGGGGAAAACTGTTAGGACACTCCCAGAGGCCTTTGGACTTCCCCCCAACCCCCCCAATAAGAGCAGTAAGTTTTACTAATGGCTTTTCAGGCACTCTCAAGTCTGACTGGTAAGAAAACGAGATTCTTTTGGGTAACTTACTTTGCAGGAATTTCTTGTGGGGATGCAAACCCATGCCAGAAAACATTACGAAGATTCAGACCATATGGAGATCCAATGAACACCCTCAGTATATTCATCTAATTAACAAACACAGTGATTACTGCAAGAAGAAATCTATTATTTATTACCTTGTACCTTTCCCTGACAGAAAATTTCAGAAGTTATTGAGAAACTACAATGTCTACTGTCAAGATGACTGGCCACCATTTGTCACAGTAACAACAACCCATTATTTGCAACTCCCAGTATTCTCTGAAAGGAAATCTTTCATCTTACTTGTACATGCTATAGAATATAATAGGGGAAGAACAAAACTAGTTACTAGACATTTCAGACACTTATGACAGGCAAATGTGATCAAGTTTAGCTCTTACTTCTTGTAGTATAAATCCACCATAATTTAATACAAATTAACATAAAATATAGAATTTGTGTTTAAAGCTGTATTCCCAGATCACTATCAAACAGGGAAACTTTGTTTTTATTTTTTAACTATAAAAAATGAACTATTCCACATGCCACCACAATTCAAGAAATAATCCTCATAACACTACTACATGGGCTAGCAATACAAGCTTCTTCAGTTCACATACAGTATTTTGTCCTAACAAAGAATTTATGTTTGTAAAACTGTATGAGAAAGACCACCTACTCTGTTTACACAAAAGTGTAAATGTCATCAGAATTTCGTTGTTTTGGGGTTTTTTTGCACATGGGGATGAATAAATTAGCTTCCTCTATTTTGAAAAAATTCTAGTGTGGTATACATTTTAAAGCATCTTACTACAGTGGTGGTGAAGGGGAAGACAGCTTATCAGAAACAGCCAATGCAGGATGTGTATTTTCAAGTAGTGCAACTCAGAAAGAGGCAAACAACCCTGCAGCTTGCTCACCCCCTTGACAGATACATGAAATTTTACGTATGTAGGTTTTCCATGTAGAAAAGCAAAGAAGAACTTAGGAGTTTGCCTTTGAAAATATTTCCATTGACGATATTGACTATTTTTGTCATATATCCCCCAGACTGTAACACGTGTAAAATTAAAGTTTTTCCAATATATTACAGAATTTGCAAGCTCTTCTTCAGTGTAAGTAAAGGCTATGCTTGGAAACCTGCCATTTGGCAACAAGAAAACCAGCTCAGTATTTATTACTTATTTCAAAACTATGCACTTACTACAGCTTGTCCAAAGACAACTGCAAGCTGCTCAGAAGCAAGCAAGTCTCTTAGAAGGAAAGGGCAATCTTTACCAATCAGTAAATACACCTATTAAAAAAAGCAAAACAGATAACATAAGTAATTTAGTGTACTTCTTTGTATTTCAAACATACGACTATTTCACCCAGCAACCATTTTCATTGTTGTAAAAACACAAATCAAATAAACCCCACCAAATCCTGAAAAAGGCTTTAAGTTCCGTAATGAGTGGATATTCTACTTAACAGTCCCATAGTTAAGCTTTTCACAGTGTCTGTATACATACTGATCTTTTTTTCAAAAAAAAAAAAACAAAAAAGAAAAAAAGAAAAAGAAAAGTAAAGCACAACAAGTATGTGTAATTCAGGGAACAAACTCTACCCAGGGCACCATACTTCATTCTTACCCTACAAATCTATAGGGTCTGTCACTGTTAAAGGAAGGAGACTGGTTTGTCTTCTGATTCTGGCTGTTCCTTAAACTAGATTTTATTCTAGCTGGGCAATCTCAGCATTTCTAGTCTCAACTGCTATGAAGCCTTCCATTCTTTGTATTCTCCATGATGTTTTTCTCCAATCTGCTGCACGCTCCTGCCTCCCCTCACAGAAGTTACCACAACATCAGATCTTCTGTGGAAGGTATGCTGCTCCCTGTTTCAGTTAAATAAATCAGAGTAACAAAGACCTACTATATGTACACTGATTAAGCAAACTTTGCTCTTTTGTAATGAAACTGGTTACTAACAGCACTCACACAAGCAACTCTACCAGCACAGGTGAAGGAGCCTTGGAAGATATTTCCATCAGCATAACTGGATCCCGAAAAGAACATCTGTCCAACTCAAAATGCAGCCAGGCTATTAGTGTACTACTACAGTACAGGGGAATCTCGCTTTTTCCACACGCAATTAAATCGAAGAACTCATTCTCATCTTATAAAACCAAATCTGCAACAGACAACTCATGGTGGCACTTACATCACCCAAGGCTCGCTCCAAGCATGACGTTAGTTTCATTAAGCCAAGAGCAACTTCTGTAGTTTGTGTATATTGTAGAACATCAAATACATCAAGAAATAACTGTATGATGAGGGAGAGGAAGAATGTTATGTTAAATATTCAGAAGGAAAAATCAAATTGTCAAAAGCACAGAGAAACCTAAAAATTCCTATGCGATAGTCGCTATGCAAATGTAGAGGGAAAACCATGCGAAGGAGATAAAAACATAGATGCCTGGAAAGAAGCCGCCCTAGAGCACCTCTTGTATTTTTAGGTGCAATGTTTCTAGTGCCTTACATGTATAAAAAATATCAAGAGTTAACTTTAGAAAGTAAAACTTGATTTTAAGCCCAGACTATTAGAAAAACAAAATCCGACCATCTTATGTTAGAACAGGCCCAAAGCACCTCATGTTCTCTTTGTGAGAACTTATATAAAATCTAGTCACAAAGTCAGGAAAATTAGAAGCAAATACATATCAGAGAAGTGTAATTAGTTACAAATTCTAAGCATTTTGGTTCATTGATATCTCATGTGTGTTCTTACATTAACTTTCCACAAAGGATTCACGTGACAAAATGCAAATTGTCAACAGACATTTCCATACCTCTGCGCAGTTTGTCCAGCGGAACCATAACGCATACTGAATTACAAATTGCTCCTTGGTCAGAGATTTGAAGTGCAAATTAACGGATTCACATACAGGTCCTAATGATCGTATGCTTTTGATATAATCCACACTTTGATCTTAAATTGAAAAACAGAAAGTGGTTAGAGTACCAAACTTTCTGAAGGTTCAATATTTTAAAACTCACAAGCAGTAAAACCTGCTACAGCTTGTGTACATATTTAGCAGAGAATTTTATCCAGACTATTTCAGCACCACTAATACACTACAATTTACTGTCCGAAAGACCACACAGATAAGATCTAAAAATGTAAATGTGCAGTGTGAAACCAGAGATCGAGTACCTTCTCCAAATTAAAAAAAAAAAACCAAAAAAACCAAAACACCAACTTAATGCAAGAAAATATGGAAGAGGATTATTATGTTCTGGTTTTGTTGAAATGGGAAGAACCTACTAGAGTACATAAATTCCACATAATCAAGCTGGAAGCTAGTGCAGGCTCAGAGGGATCAGACAAGTTGCACCACTTATACCCTTTAAAGAACGCAGATGGATGTGGGACCTTACAGAGTGGCATCACTGCTCCTCTTTGGCAGAACACTTTTATAGGAAAATAAATTCTTCTCATTTACTGAAAGATATTGCTTGAGGCAGAAACACGTATCATTTTTACCATCTCTGGAAATTTATAACACAGCTTGCATGATTTAATTTGGCAAATTAAAACTCAGTAAGTTCATCAGGGCATAACTATTCTGTTTTGGTTAAAAAACAACTATAAACTGTTCTACGTACAGAAGGGAAACCAAACAGTACTTCTGTACAAGCTAAAGTTGGGGAATCAAAACAGAAGCAACAGCAGGAATTGGAATACTGATGGCCCCAGAGTGTTTTAAATTTACTGCAAAAGGGATATAAAGAACACAGAAGAAAGCAATTTTGAGCTAGGAGAGAAGAACTGAACCCCTTATGTACAGGCACTTGAAGTTTGGAACCAAGATGGATGAGGAAGCAAAGGAGCAGCTACTTATCTAGCACAGATTACATGAACCTTAGGAGCCAGCAATAACCAAATACCAAACGTGGATGAAAAAAAATGTAAAGCCTCTTGTAGATATGAACTGTACGTACTCGAATCTGCAGTAAAGCTAATCCTGTACTGTAATAAAATGTTATAACTAAGCTAGGATTGCTATGAACTGTACTGAGATTCTGCATCAGTCTTAAATGTATTGCTGCTACAGCAGGTAAACACCAACCTGATTCAAGGTAACACACATGCTCTGTAACAGCTTGCCAACATACTTCACCATTTTCAGATAAAATATTATTAATATCATAAGTGTCTTTCTTCTCAAATCCAAGTTTGCAAATTACGTAATGCACAGGTGGAGAAAGACAAGTAGTGACTGAGTCTGACAATGCCATCTAGAACACAAACAAAAAGAGTCCTTGCATTAAGAAACTACATGAGAACAAAAAAAATTATTATTAAAGCATACCCATAAGCACACATATACAGATAGCAATACAGCATCTGTAAACAAGCTGTTAAGGTTTGCAATACAACTTTCATCTATGCATATGATGAAATGACCTCTCTGACCTTGTGGAAAACTGAGGGGAAGAATTGCTCTATTTGCCTAATGCCGGGATGGTATATTTCTGAATGTTCACCTCTACTGAACTGATGCCAAGACAGACCGAAGCAAAAGATCCCAGTTTATGTAAAAGGGTTCTGTCTAATCACTGAGCTTGCAGGGAAAATGATGCTACTTCAGGTAAAACCAAGAGCTTCAGTCCTTATGACCAGCAAAATCATCAGGGGTGCAACAATGTGAATTCTGTATGAACTGGTAGCAATGGTAGAGCAATCTAAGCATAAATGTTATTTGCATATTAGTCTAAACAGAAAGATGGACTGAATCTGAAGCACACATTTAAATTAAAGAATTGGCAGACAGAACTGCTCATGCTACCAAGGAGGAAAATGCTTCTGATTTAGTAAAAAAAAAGTCACACTTCCTCATTAATCAAACAGAAAAGACAGACAAGAAATTGTTTGAAAATGAAGTATCACAACAAATACAAAGAGATTCCATTAACGTTAAATTAAAAACATTTTTTTTCCTCTTTAATTAGGTGGTGGAATTGACCCTCCCAGTACATCTTTTCTGAAATCCTGGCTTCAAGGAGAGACTACATGTTTAGATGGGTAACAGCACAGAGCGAGTATGACAGTTCGTATAAGGAACTGGTATTAGCTGCCAACAGGAGTATTCCATCGGCCAAAAAACATCTAAAAAGTTGATAAAACGTGTAATTCAGTCCTTCGCCTTATTTTGAGTCTCTCCCATGTTTCACTGTCAGAGACAGGAGACCAAAACTTTATTGTCTAAATCAGCCCGGACCAGGAGCGGGCAGCTGATTTTCCAGGGAGTACGTGAGCAGGGCCCGGGCCTCCAGCGGTGACAGGGCGGCAGAGGCAAGGCTGCCCCCGCCCCGCTGCCCTCCGGCC